TGTGTGTGTGTGTCTATATATATATATATATATATATATATATATATATATATATATATATATATATATATATATTTCATTATAAAACCTAAATAAACACAAGGACCTCCTTTGGATTATATTTTTTTTAACACTACATGTGGAAGTATTGAAGATTTGCTTAAAAGAAGTAATGAAGCTAGCGCAGGAGATGCTGAAAATAAAATATAATGCGAAAGAGGAAAAGCGTAAAGTGATGCTATTCATTCTAAGCAGGATAGATGAATTATTGAGAATAAAATTATATTCCACTAGTGCTAAGGCACTTTTTCCAAATTACTTGTAGTCCAAAGAATATATTTTCAGCTTTATGCTTTTTGTGTTTCTCTGGTGATATGATGGAATAAAAATAATAGGCTGCATTTGTGGATCAATCAGATCGTGTCATTTGGTCCCGGCCGGCCTGGACGATCCAAATATCAATGATTCTTATTTATCAAACAGTTTTTAATGAAATGAAATAATATATATTATGGTTAGGCGTGTGTGTGTGTCATGTACGTTCTAGAAAGAGGAATATGTATTCATCCAATTGCACGCATTCCTGTTACGTTGCGCCTTCCCTACATCAATTCCGATTTCTTTAAGTCATCCCTAAATGGAATTGATTGGGTGGATACACATATATGGTTCAGTTCATTCGGTCCATTTCCTGCATTTATTAATTTTTTGCGTGGGCAATATGCAAATTAAATCTTATTAACGCAACGATTAGATCGCAGAATATATATATTATTGTACTCTGGTGCGAATGGCACGCCCAAGAGCGAAATGTGAGTGCCTGCTATTCGTCTACGTGTCTAGATCTAATGGATGAGAAACGCTGATTTAAAAAAAAATGCGGTGACATTTTCGTAAATAATTGAATATCGAAGTGCATGTAAAATGTATTATAGGTGCAAGTAAAATTTACACTAAGCATTAGTACTAAGTGCACTTATAGTTACCTATAGTTATAAGTAGTTACACATAGGTGCATGAATGTTTGCGGGTGATTTTCACGGGTACTAACTACCCTCTGAACTCCCCGCAATAACAAAAGCGATGCCAAACAGAACGAACTCAGATCATTGAATGTTAACATGGCAAAATTACATGCACTTGTAGGTGAAAGTAGTTGCACTTGTAAGTGAATTAATTACCTGCACTTTTTACTTGCAAATGTGCATGCACCAGCTACTTGCACTTATAACACATTTACTAGCTTGCACCAAAGTTTAAAGTTTGACTTAATATATATAGGGTTCGACCCCGATGAGAGCCATGTCCCAAATGAGAACTGTGGTTTAATGTAAACCATTAAAATCAAGATATTAACGTATATAATATATACACATCCATCTCCTAAAATTAAAGGATATTATTAGTCCACCCAAAAACATCCAATCGCAACAAAAATGGCGAACATTCCTTCTACACTATATATGCTTTGAAAACATGTTTCTTCTCAAACATTATGGATGGAAACAAACTAGTATTTTTAATCACTAATATTAACACCTACATCATAAGTTTAAAAAAAAAAAAAAAAAAAAAAAAAAAAAACTCCATAGACAAACAAACCCTAACGATAGTATAATGCACCACAATGAACAACATAATACACCAAGATTAGAATATTGATACATCAACACTGGAACACTAATGCACAAATACTACATTTACAGGTCACAGCCACCACCGCAACGCACAATCACTTTCACACCCACCTCAAAACATCTGCATCCACAATGAAGTGTGCCTAATTAACCTAGTCATGCTCGATCAAGAAGAAGTAAGACCTTCAACAATTTGCCTCAACTAATGGTATATATGCATTGAAAGGAAGATCATTTAATTTATTCGTGTAGTGCACATGCATTATATTTTATAACGGGCCTACAAATTATAGAAGTGATCCATCCTAACTATATCCATCAACTCAACACGGGATGTCCATTAACTCTATACTACATGTCCATTAAAATTATAATTCATGTCCATAACAAATTTATGTAAATCAAAGCTAAGGACAGTTATACAATGGACCAAAGTCCACCCTGCAAGATGGATCCGAATTCAAAATATATAATTTATAGGGATAAAGTCCAAATAAGCCACTGAACTATTTGGGAAAAAGCAATTAAGCCATCGAACTCAAATAATCCCCAAATAAGCCATTGAACCCGGAAAAAAAGAGCAATTAACATTTTTAACAGGTTAACTCCAGGTTTTTACTGACTGGATTGCCAAATGTTTATTTTATTTACATTTTTTTATTATTATAATCCATCTACATAGTAATATATTTTAAAGTAATTATAATCAAAGTAGTTTTGTCTTGTCTAGATCTAATTTATTTATTTATTATTATTTTTTTAAACAAAAGATCTAGTGAAAAAATAATAATAAATAAACAAATCAAATCTCGACAAGATAAAACTATTTTGATTATAATTATTTTAAAATATAATACTATCCAAGTGGATAATATTAATAAAAAAAATAATAAACGTAAATAAAATAAATATTTGGCAATCCAATCAGCAAAAACTTGGAGTTAACCTATAAAAAATGTTAATTGCTTTTTTTTCAGGGTTCAATGGCTTATTTGCTCTTTTTTTCCGGGTTCAATGGCTTATTTGATGGTTATTTGAGTTCGATGGCTTAATTGCAGTTTCTCAAATAGTTCAGTGGCTTATTTGTACTTTATCCCTAATTTATATATTGAATGTTCACAATTTACATATTGAATGTTAACAATTAATTTACCTTTTACAAAATTGTGAACATTGAGTATGTAAATTGTGTATTTTGAACCCGAATTCACCTTGGGTCCACAGAATAATTTGTCCAGATGAAACATGTCTGTGAATTTAAAGTCTTTAAAACTCTATGAATTGAAAGCCATGATTGAATACACCCCTAAAATAGGTTCATTATAATTCAACAGTGAAACCCCTAGAAAAATGTTTTGAACAAATTAACCAGTCATTACTTAAAATACAAATGGATGAAGCACTTGATCTATTAAATAAAACATTGGCCCATTAAAGGATCTACGTTGTAAATATAATGAATTTACGTGAGGATATCAATAATGTTGGCAAATTATATCGTGCACCAAGACACACAATGCAACGGTGTTTCCTGTTTCTTCCGGTAACTTCTAAAAATTAAAAAAAAATTCTCTGTTTCAAATGTACAGAATTGTATAGTAGAATACACATAAACTCCTAATATAATACACATAATCTAACATAATACATAATGCACATAAACTCTTAACATAATATATACACAGAAACTCTTAATAGAATACACATAAACACAAGTGTAAAAAAAAAAAAAAAAAAAAAAAAAAACATGTAACGTGATTGGATGGACGGAACGGTGTCCGTCACGTCAACTCCCCCACACAACTTATAAAAATGACGTTGTTTTAGGCCAGGGCGCACAAAGTGTTTTCAAACACGTAATTAATGATCGGTGAATTGTAGTTAATTTTGTAACCGCAAATATTATTTCGATAATAAGTATAATCGTTTCAAACATTATAATCTGATTATTAAATTGAATTTTTGTGCCATTGATTAATGCTATTAAATTCTAATCTTCTATATAAACACTTGGGTGTCAGGCAGAATTTTAGTTGCTGGACTTGTTCTTATTTCTCTCTTATGGACTTGTTCTCATTTGATCTAGTACCTATGTGTGGGAATGCTGACGAGTCTGCGTATCATTTGTTTGTGGAATGCCATGAGATAAACATTGTGTGGATAAATCTTGGCATGCCAATGGTCCAACACGAGCAAGCTAGCTAAGGTAATGTTGTGGATTGGTTATTTGCCTTATTTGATAGCGTTAGTCATGATGTGAAGGAGATGTTGCAATGATTTGTTGGGGCATATGGGGAAGTAGGAACAATAAGGTTTGGAATGGGACTCCCTTTGTTCGTACGTGATCATGTTGCTACTTCTGCTATCAGGTTTCTGGAAAATTAGAAGGTGGCTAACATGGCAGCACAAACCAATGTTGAGAAATGGCTACCTCCTTGGCTTCGACTGGCCTACTAAAATTAAATATGAATGCCGCATTAGATGTTGGCAACAATAGGATGGGGCTTGGATGGGTACTTAGAGATGATGGTGGTCGATTTCTGGCTGCTAAAGGAATGTATATGAGTGGTTGCTATGGGGTGAAAGAAGCTGAGGCAGTGTGCATCCGGGAAGCCCTTAGCTGATTAAAGGATACAGGATTAGGCGAAGTTGATTTGGAGACTGATTCACAATTAGTTTTTCATGCTTTAAATTCACTCTTTTTATTCTAATTTTGGTTTTATTATTGATGATGTTAAAGAAGTTGCATCTCATATAAATGATGTACATTTCTACTTTGCTAAGCGATCTGCGAAGGGTGATGCCCACATTGTTGCGCGGAAAGCTAAACCGTTTTTGTGTGGGGGAGTGGTTCGACACCCCTCCTCATTTCATTGTTGATTGTCTCACAATTGATTTAATGAATTAATTTGTTCTTCTAAAAAACTTAAAATCTTGTATTATAATTTATTTTATTGTTTAAACTTAAAATTCGTCATCCTATTCGCATTTAATCTGCCAAATAACATTAGATCAAATTGGATTGAATTACACCTTAGCGTATGTGGATGCATATTAAAATTTTAAAATCTACCTCCAAACTTACCCCAAATCGCGGGACGCCACTTCACACTTTTTTTTTTTTTTTGAAAGTCACTTCACACTTACTCCTAAGCTAGTCCACTAAATTTTGAGTTAGTCGGTTCAAATCAATGTGCTTATCAATTTCTAATTTAGTTATATTTTTATTATACTAAAATATTTCTACCCTAACTTTTAAAACTTTCAATTTTATAGTATCGGATTAAAGTTGACATGCCATGCATATGATTTCTTCTGTTCTTGAAAATTTTCAATTTTATAGGATCGGACTAAAATTGACATGCTCTTCTCTTCTTGCGTGCTTTACCGGCGCCGTGACAGCTGGCCCAGACAATACCAATGATTCATGGCAATGAAAGAACAAAACGCAAAAAAATAAAAATAAAAATTGCGAATTAGAATCCGCCATGGCAAATGGCTTAGCTTCTTCTTACACCTCTCTCTCTCAGCAGAAGGGCATTTACACTCTCTCCACCACCGCATTGCTCCTTCTCTTCCTCTTCAGCTTGTTCTATTTCAGCAGCCTATCTCTCGAGCCCAAACTCACTTTCTACAGAGATATCTTCTCAGAATTCCGCGTCGCCACCACTCCCCTTACCATTCCAACACCCATAGACGCTCAATTTAAGGACCCGCGCAATGAATCAAACCCGACGCCTAAACCCGTCGTCTCGATCCCAGATTTCGAGGTAATCGATGAACAACCGACGCCCAATTTCCCAATCGTCGTGGGGGGCGAAGCGGCTGATTCCAATGTCACTGAGGAGGCGAGTGTTGTTGTGACGGCCGTGCCGTCGAGCAATGCCGCTAAGGAGGAGAGTCGTTGGGCTGATAGAGCTCAAGGGTGTGATTTCTATAAAGGGAGTTGGGTGAATGATGAGGACCACCACCCTATTTATAGTCCTGGGTCTTGCCCCTACGTGGATGAAGCCTTTGATTGTCAGCGCAATGGCAGGCCTGACTCTCAGTATCTCAATTGGAAATGGAAACCTGATGGCTGTGATCTTCCAAGGTTAGTTTCATTTCATAACCATGTAGAATGGACTGCTCTTTACTTTAATTTTCGCAAATTGTATGATCAATGTTTGGCTATGTCTTCTGGTTTTCTCTGTTTCTCTTAAGCTTTTACTTTAATGGAACTACTACTTGTAGAGTTAGAGTCATACTATATAGTAGCACTGGCTAGTTCTAAACTTTCAATTTAACCACGCCTGATCCTTTGACTTTCAAATTTAACCAATCGCATGATTCTTCAACTTTCAAATTTAACCAATCGCGTGATTCTTCAACTTTCAAATTTAATCATTAACCAGGGGTGGTTAAATTAAAATTTTGGTTGATTTAAGCTGGTATTAACTATTTTTTTTTTTTGTTGTTTAATACCTAAAATGGTCCTTGACTATTGTAGTTTTTCTCAATTTCGTCATAAATGACTTTTGTGACCCAATGTAGTCTTGTGTTTTTTTGCTCAATGTAGTCTTCCATCTGTTATTCCGTCCAATTGGTGTTAAATAGAGCGACAATTTGATAATGGTAATATTTGCCACTCATTTACCAAATGGTCCCTCTATTTAATAACAAACGAGGACTACATTGAGCAAAAACACACAAGTTTGAGACTACATTGGGTCACAAAATTCGTTTAGGATGAAATCAAGAAAAACCACCATTGTCGAGGACCATTTTGGGTATTAACTCTGTTGTAAACTCATAGAGTTATATAGTATCAGGAAATCACTTGTAGTATATTTATCTCTTTGTGCCAGTGAAATTTGGATATAATATTGTTTTCTCTCCAGGTTTAATGCAACTGACTTTTTGGTGAGATTGAAAGGGAAAAGGCTGATGCTTGTTGGGGATTCCATGAACCGGAACCAGTTTGAGTCACTGCTCTGCGTTCTTCGTGAAGGACTGGTCAATAAGAGTAAAATGTATGAGATACATGGATATAAAATAACAAAGGGAAGAGGCTACTATGTTTTCAAATTTGAGGTGATTGCAACTTGCAACAACCAAGACTTCTCCTTACTGAATATAAATAACAGCCATTAGATTGCTTTTTCTTTTTTCCTTACATGTTTGTGGTTATGCTTGGTAGAGTTTATTTTAGAGCTTATAGTTTATTTTAAGCTACAAATAAGCTATAAGCTTTGTTTGGTAAGCTTTCAGCTTTCAGCTAGCTTATAAGTTAGGTATGCCAAACTGAGCTTGAATAATATATTTGACTTACCAAAAAAAGCACAAATGCATCATATATGCACACAGTACATCTGTAAATTCTTTTTTCAAGTTTACACAAGTGGGGTGGGTTCTCATTTTCAGTTTTTTTTTTTTTAAATACTAAAATGATGATTGCTTCAATTTTATTTTGCATCTAAACATGTTAGAAGGATACTAATACAATGGATTGATCTCTGACTGTCTGACAGGATTTTAACTGTACAGTGGAATTTGTGCGATCACATTTTCTTGTCAAAGAGGGAGTGCGCATCAATGCACGTGGTAGCTCAAATCCAACTTTATCAATAGATCGCATTGATAAAACAGCTCCTCGTTGGAAGCGTGCTGACATTCTCGTTTTCAATACTGGACATTGGTGGACCCACGGAAAGACAGCGAGGGGGTATGTCAACATGCAATCTTTCCTAGCAAGGTTTTTGAGTTACAAAAGATAATGTCCACTCTGCTATATAGGCCATGAATGATTCTCTCCTTGCTTCTTCTATGTGTGCGTTTCCTTTTTCTCTCTCTTTTTCAAGGGCATGATATATTTCTTGCTTCTAGCTAGTCTAGTCTAGACACATGAGTGGCTTTAAACTACTTTAAAAACATAGCATGGTACTGAAATGCAGCTGAGAAATTAGTACTTTGTAATCTATTCCAAGCATGGCTTTGATTTTTGTAAGTGGCTATGCAAAGGTATCTGATATGTGTTGCTATATTACAGGAAAAATTACTATAAGGAGGGCGAGTATATTTACCCCAAATTTGATGCAGTTGAAGCTTATAGAAGAGCCTTGAAGACCTGGGCAAGTTGGATCGATGAACATCTGAAACAGAAAAAGTTGGTTTTCTATCGAGGGTACTCATCTGCTCATTTCAGGTACTTAGAAAATTGAGTTTTATGATTAGCTTTAATTTTATTCCGGTTATAGAACTCAGGTAAATTTTTTTAGGGCTTTTTGCAGTTTGTCTTCTATAGTTTTATCCTTTTTTGGTACTTCACCTTTATAGTTTGGAAGTTGGTACTTTTCCATCTAAACATGTTTTTCAGCTATTGTCCACCAAGTTTCATTGCATAAAAAGTTCACATTACATTATTAAGCTACTAGTGTAGGGTAAAGTGATCTTTTATGTATTTCATCAAGAAGAAAAAAGTTTACCTTATGGATAGTCCTTTCATTTTCTTTTGTAAATGATCCATCTTCAGTGATCTGGACATGAAAATATTGGCTAGCCATGATAGTTGTAAGTTACTGAATTTTCATCATATGCCCACTATTAAATTTAATTATTAAATATACTTCGATATTTTAATAATTTGATAGTGGATATACTATTTGCATGGTAAAGGGGGGCATTTTGACCAACATAACCCCACTTTTTACACCAAAAAAGAGTCCTGATTAATGGAATGGCAAAATCACAATGAAATTTGAAAGTTGAAGACAATTTATGTTTAAATTATTAAGGGTGTGTTTGGTTGGCAGGTTTAGCACTCAGGTATGGGTATGAAAGTGATTGTTATTGTTTGGTTGACTGGTTTTTAAAACACTACTATGGGTTTGGAATATCCCATTAATAGAAAAACCCATTCCCTTATTTTATTAGGGTTTCATCCCATTATTCATCCTTAGCCTAATCATTCCCATTCCACCCTACTACCAAACATGCAAAATACTTTCACCAAAACCCATTACTATTACAAGTATTTGATACCCATTCTAATTCCGATTCCCATGTGCGAACCAAACACACCCTAACTAGGGACTAAAACTGCTATATCACTATAACTCAGGGACTGAATGTAATTTTGCCCATGGAATTTTGTTGGAAAATTGGCTTTGTAACATGTCAAGATGTTAGTATGTGCAACAATGTGCATATGTTGAATTGTTGAAAGTATATACATTAAAGTGCCAAAAGGCCTAAACTATTGTTGTGTCAGAAAGCTCAATTTTTAAACCAATACATAGATAATAGACCACATTATTTATTTTCCAGCACTGTCTAGTAGAACTATTTTTGAAGTTTCCCTCCTGTAGGAGTTCATATTGGTTGCATTATTTGCTTTGATTGCCCTTTTTAAGCGTCTAATCTTTTAGTATTTCTCTGTTTCTCCGATATTGCACTTGCTTTGTTGGAAAGGCTAGGCCTCTTTTTTCTTTATCTGTTGAGAATCATGTGATAAATAAAGGGTTATTGCAATTTCTGAAACAGAGGTGGAGAGTGGGATTCTGGTGGAACCTGTAATGGTGAGAGTAAACCGGTTTTGAGTGGAGCCATCCTTGATAACTATCCTTTGAAAATGAAGATAGTGGAAGAAGTGATCAAAGAAATGCAGACACCCGTTGTGCTACTAAATGTGACAAGTTTGACCAATTTCCGGAAGGATGGCCACCCATCTGTATACGGGAAAATGGTGACCGACGGGAAAAAGGTTTCCACCAAACGGCAAGATTGCAGCCATTGGTGTCTCCCGGGAGTCCCTGATGCTTGGAATGAGCTAATCTACGCCACTTTGGTCTTGAAACAAACCTCTTCAATCAATGAACATTAACAAGGTTTGTTTAGTTCATGGATTGGGTGGGAATAGGACTAGCAACAAGCCTTTCTAATCCCATATTTACTTTATTTTTAACTCATCCAAATACTCAGTACGAGGATTGCTATACTTGTTTAGGGGACGGGATGGGGTTAACAATCTTTCCTTAGTGAAGAGATCGATGATGTCTTCACATTAACGAAAGGGATTGTTAATCCTCTAGTAAGAGTTCTGGCCTTGCTCTTTCAATATGAGAAGTCCCATTTGTAATTTTTTCATTGACTGATTATTTTTGGTTATGTTGATTTACTTAGCTTTTCGCTTTAGGATCGTTGTTGTAAATTTTATGTATCTTTTGTAGGATTTAGTAAGCCCTGATTGCTAAACTCTACTGTGTTCATCACTTGATCCTATGCTTGATGAAAATTCTGTTTTATGTGGTTTGTTGGTAAATGTTTGAAATTATTAATTTGGTCTTTAATTATTTTTTCTATATTTATTTTTGGTCTAATTAAGTCCCTTAACTTTAAAATCTTAACCAATTTGGTTCTCCATTTGTTTAGTCGTTAAACATCCGTTTATTCATGATCAAATTAGTAATTTTGCTATAGTCAATGGATTATTTCAGTTATCACATGCACAATTTTCTCTCTTATTAAACCAAAGAGTTAATTATCGAAATGATCTCCTGACTATAGTGAAATTATTAATTTGATCTCGAGTAAACAAACGTCTAAAGGCTCAACAAACGGAGAACTAAATTGGTTAATATTTTTAAAATTGAGGGACTTAATTAGGAAAAAAAATAGTCAAACACCAAGTTGGTAATTTTGTTATAGTTAAAAGATCATTTCGGTAATTAACTCATGTTTAAATTTATAAAATCACCTTGATTGATTTGTTATTACGTACACAACATTTAATTGGAGTATAAGTTTTGTCATAATAAAAAGGAGAGAATTTGTTAGAAATAATTGAATTAAATAGATTTTGATGATGCATGTAATTTAAATAAAAATCTTAAAATCATCAAATTTTAATAAATTATCTCATTTTTTTAATTTTTTTTTTGAGGGGAATTATCTCGTTTATTAGAGCGTAAAGTCAACAGAATATATGTTGGTTGTAAAAAGAAAACTTCACGCTAAACAAGACAATAAAGAATGTTGCAAAGTACTCCGTATTGAAGTATGGTAAATAGTGATGGTAAAGTTAAAGTTGAATATCGTCGGTGAAGTAGGAAGAAACAAACCCAAAATAGATAAGACAAAGTTGAAAAATAAAAACAAATAAGTAGGGAGATCCAATACCTCTTTTGATTTGCCATTACTGATAGTCCAGGGCTGGTCCCATATGGGTCGTTATATCGTGGACCGCGGCGTACGTGTACCGCGATTAAAACGGTGTCGTTAGTTTTAACGGAGTGTGTATTTTTTTGTATGTTAATTACCAACTGACAATATATCTAAACCGTCACTGCTTTACGTATTATTTTTATATTATCAAATAAAACTGCATTTATATCAAAATGATACTGTAGTTGTGGTGAAATGAAACTGCAGTGTATATAAAATGAAATTGAATAACATTTCATATATTTGAGTGTATATTGTACAATGAAGCTGTAATTATATTAAAATGATCATGCAGTTGTGTTTTAATAAAACTATAGTGTATATAAAATAAAATTAAATAACATTTTCACATATTTGAGTCTATGAATATCGAATAAAACTGTAGTTATATCGAAATGAAACTATAGTTGTGTTGAACTGAAACTGCAGTGTATACAAAATGAAATTAAATAACATAGTTACTTTTTACGAAAGGGTGCGGAACGGCGAAAAACGGATGTCGTTTCTTTTCATTAAACAAAACGACGTCGTTTTGATGCGCAGTGCACGATATAATTTGTCGTCCCATATCTGGCCAGTATCGCCAGCGGCCCAATTTTTGGAGGTCCAATTTTTTTTTTTAATTTTTTTTTTAGATATAATCTATTATTTTTTATATTTGATAATTTCTTTTTATTTTTTTATTTTTTGAATTCATAGATTGATCTTAATTGTAATTGAAAATAAAATTTTAAAAGAAATTGACATCGAAATTTTGGTGAATAATTTTATATTTAAATATGAATGAAAAATGACACTTTTAAACTAACTTTTGAACTTTTGAATTTTATTCTTTCTTTGTTAATTTTTGGGAAAATGGCACTTTTCCCCCCTGAGTTATATACCTATAGCATTTTTTTCCCCTAAATTATTGAAGTGGATGTTTTCCCCCCTGAAATGTTAAATGGACATATTTACCTTTAAACTAAATATTTAATTTATTTTTTTCTCCAACAAATTATGACCATAATTTGGTTCAAACTAAACAAACACTATAGCAACCAAACCGAAATATTCTAATTACAATTTAGAATTGAAATTCGATATTTAGAGTTTATTAAAATCGTGAACCGGAACGGACGGTTCATGTTCCGAACTGAAAAAATAAAATACATTTATTGTTGAATTTAGACTATTTTAAAATAAAAAATAAAATTTTAAAATAAAGACGGTTCAAAACCGCGAATCAGATCCGGAACCGCCGGTTCACGGTTCAAGATTCAATTTTTTTGATACATAATTTTAATAAATTGAAATTTAAATATTGGGTTCTAGATCTGAATTATAACCGTAAACTATTAATTCGATTGCTTTAGTATCCGTTCAATTCAAATCGAACCGTGGTCATCCCTACGTATACGCAATAATTTGTTGTAGTAAAATAAATAAAATGTTTACTTTAAGGGTATAAATGTCAATTTAATATATCAGGGGGAAAAAGTACCACTTTTAGAATAATTAAGGGGGCTAATGTGCTTACCTAAATAATTGAGGGGGAAAAAGTGCTATAAGTATATAACTCAGGGGTAAAAAGTGCCATTTTCCCTTAATTTTTTTGTATTATATTTGGACAAAAAAATTTAATTACATTTTTATTTTTGTCATATAATACAATAACTTGAAGTCCAAATTGATTTGAACTCAATTACCTTAGTTATAGAGATTTTGTAGATCTTCAAGACTTCTATCTTCATCAGATCTTTTGAGATTATGTTTCTTACCTTTATAAATAGAAATCTCTATCATAATAAATAAATAAAAAATATCTCTCTCTCTATGTTGTTGTCTATCTTTTATTGTCTTTGTCTTTGCAGTTTACTCTATTATATTTAGATTGTATCTCGGAACAAAAATAATACATGTCTAAATTAAACTATTAGACAATGCCCCTATTTTTAATGAAACGGTCCTGCTGATAGTCCTTTTTGTAAGTTAGGGTGCCACTTTACCATTGAAACTAATGTTAACACCACAAGTAACCCTATGATTTCCATTTTGGACAAATGGACAACCATGAATTGATTTGAGATGTCTATATTGATAACCATTTGCTCCAAGCTATCATACCACTTAACTAATCGTATTGACGTAAACAAATAAAGAAACAAGCACACAAAAAACCCGAGGCCCAAAGGCTCACCTCTTAAGTTAGCTTCAGGGTCGGTCCTATCATTTTATAGGCCCGGGGCAAGATAAAAAAAAAAAAAAAAAAGGGCCCCGGTTAATATATATTTCATGTCTAAAATTTAAATTAGATAAGGAAAAAAATTATTAATGACGATAACTTTAAATAAGATTAATAAGTTTTTAACAATTTGACATACACAACAATAATCATGAAAAAAATTTCTAGGTACTTTTCTTAATGCAAAATAATAAATAATCATATAAGTGCCTTCATAAATAAATAATATTATAGTTATAAAAATGAATAAATAATTTAAAATCGAGTAAACTTATAAACAATAACATTTATCATAATAAATAATAAATTAATTATTATTAAAAATTTATAAAACAATAATTACAAACATATGGAAAGCTAAAAATATTTTTTGACTAGGAGCAAAAAATTAAAATATTTCAAAACGTAATAAAAAATGCAAAAAGATATGAAACATAATTATCTAGATAATATAAAGCATATTATAAATCACACATCTTCTATATTATTTATATGATTTTTATAAATACTTTTTTTTTGAATACAAATACTTTTTCTTTTAAATAGATAAATGTTAAACTTTTTAAAGAATAATTTGAATACATATAATGACACATGATAGAATATTCTATATTACATTGATTAGATATTCATAAAAAGGTACAGAGAAAATTATCTTTTAATTTTTTTATAATTCAATCTCAAAATATATCATATAACCCCCTCCGTCATATTTTTACGTGTCTTGTTTCGTTAACATGGGTTGATTGAATTTTTTTAATTCAATTTTTCATAATATGTTTAGTATAAGTATATAAAAGTTTATAAATTTAGAAATTTCATAAAAAATTTAATATAAAAATTTATATATTTAATATAAAAAATTTTCATAATATATTTAATATAAATATATGAAAATTTATATATTTAAAAATTACATTAAAAATACTACTCCGCATTAAACACAAAAAATCAATAAAAATAAATTTTTAAAATATAAGCAAAGAAGTAAAGTTGAGGAATTGTAAAATGTGAAAGAAAGGATTGAATCATGGGCCTTTGGTTAAATGAGAATGAAATTTAAGTATCTTACCAACAAGCTAATTCACCTTACTATAAAACATATGTATATAAATTACTTATACTCAATTCATATATACTATATATATAAGAGATAGGATGGGGCCCTCCCCAAGCATGGGCCCTGGGCAAGGGCCCAGCCTGCCGTTGCCCCAGGGCCGGCCCTGGTTAGCTTGCATTATCATCAGAAAACGTAAAGGAAAAAATGTTCCTTGTAAGCTAAAGAGCCTAGGAACTCTGGAAGAAGATAAGCTATGTAGATAAAACTAAGAGCAACTCATTTTTTACCGGATCTAGTTTGTAAGAGCCAATGAGAGGTTATTAATCCTATAATGATAAGGTAAAAAAAAAAAAAAGGCCATAGAAGCATAAGAACACATCATAACATAACCCTAGATAGAAAACCATAAGACAAATGTAAAGAGCCAATGAGAAAAGACATTGTTAGTGTTATACTTAGGTATATTTTGTTGTTGGACTAGTTCTTTGCAAAAATAGGTGTAGAAAGTCCTTTGTATATTAGAATAGGTGTTTGAACTTGATTATAGTGTAACGTTGCTAGAACAGAAGATCCCGTGGAGGCTCAGTTGCAATAGAGAACTACTTTTGGTATAAATGATGGTTCAAGGATGTTATCAAAGTAGTTTTTAATCCATTAACTATTCTCTTGTATCATGACAATGTGGCTATTCCAGAAGGTTAAAGAATGTCATTCATCTATCTCTGTTGTGAAAGTAAAATTTCATCATTGTATTTAACTGTCTCAATTCCAAGAAAAAATCCAGGTTCACCAAGATCTCT